TGTTCATTGAGAACATGACACAAAATGAACAGTGACAGGACTATAAAAGTGTTCTCCAAAATATGTTCTCAAAATGATGCTTCAGGATTAAAGACATGGCTCAGCGGTCAAGAGTGCATACTGCTCTTCTAGAGGACCCAAGTTCAATTCCCAGCACCCACATGGCAGCTCACACCCGTCTGTAACTCCAGTTCCAGGAGATTTGATGCCTGCTTCTGGCCTCTACAGGTGCCAAGCACACAGTGGCGTACAGACATACATTTGGACAAAACATCCATACATATAAAATCAAAATCAATAAATACTTTAAATGATAATAAAAATAGAATCCCCTGGGCTAGGAATGTGTGCTTGCCTAGTATGCGTGAGGCCCCAGGTTTGATTCTCAGGACCACAAGAATGATCAATAAAAATTGATCGATCAATCAGTCAGTCCCTACCCATAATGAAATTTCACCCTGGCAAGGTGAACCAGGAATCGTCAGTTGCAAGAGATCATGGCTCAGCATGGTGCTTACCTCACCTGTGAAACAGAGACATGCTAAGGCTGGAGGCAGGAGAGCTCCTGCCATGGAGGCAAGGGGAGGAATCAAATGTGCTGGTAGAGAGAGCGCCCAGCACAAGCGGGAGTGTCGGCAAGTCCTGAGAGCTAGAAGTCGATTAGAGAAATCAGATGTTCCTTGGTGGCTGAGGGGAAGGATGTACTGAAAGCGGCTGGTGTAGTCCCAGTGTTCTTGCTGCAAGCATGGTAAGGGAAGCCTTGCCCGGGGAAGGTGTGGAAGGAGGGGGTGGATTCCATAGATATGGTGCAGGTAGGCCAGACAGGACTTACTGGCTGATCAGAGGTGGAGGAGAATGGGAAGAGGAAGGCTCTAGCTTGGCCGTTGAGAGGATCTGAGCCCGGAAACCAGATGGAGAGCTGTGGGAAGGAAGGAGAATTTGTCTCCTTCCTGGGACATGCAGATTGCCAGGGGCCTGTGGATGCCCAGGTAGAGATGGGGAATCGGCCATTCTAGGGAGAGACCTGGCTGGGACAAGAACAATGTGTGCTTCAGGCTTGAGTAAACAAACCAAGGACAAGGTGGTAGGACCACACTGACTCCACCCAACTTCTTCCCAGTAGATCCCATCTCTTAAATATTCTGCCGGTCTCCTGATAGCATCATGGACAACATGAATGGAAACCATCAACAGTTACTGTCTATAGGCAGGGTTTTTCATCAGGACTGCTGGCTCCCCAATAAACAACATGGAAACTTATTATTAATTACAAATGTTTGGCCAATATCTTCAGGTTGTTACTAAATAGCTCTTACAACTTAAATTAACCCATATTTATTAATTTATGTTCTGCCACGTGGCTCATGGCTTGTTACCTCATCTTCTACAATCCTGCTCCCTCTGTGTCTGGCTGGCAACCCTTCTTCTTCCCAGCGTTCTCTCAGTCTCAACTCTCCTGCCTAGCTATTGACCAGTTGGCTCTTTATTAAACCAATGAGAGCAACACATCTTGACAGTGTACAAAAGGATTATTCCACAGCAACTGTCTACACGCTTGTGGTTTGCCAGGTTTTGCCAACCTGACATAACCTAGAATAACCTGGGGAGAGAGCTTCAATTGTCTAGACCAGGTTGGCCTGTGGCCATGTCTTGGGGGTGGTGTTTTGATTGCTGTAATTGATGTGGGAAGAAAAGTGGGTGGTACCATTCTCTGGTTTGCATCCTAGACTGTACACAGGAGGAAAAAAGTGAGCAGAGCCTAAGCATGCACTCATTTCTCTCTGCTCTCAGCTGTGGATGGGATGTGACCAGCTGTTTTAGATTCCCAGAACCTTGACTTCCAGCTGTGATGGACTGTAACCTGGCATTGTGGGCTAAATAAACCCTTCCCCCTAAGTTGTATTTTATCCCAGCAACAGAAATGCAGCTAAAAGACAGGCTCTATGCAGGAGATGGAATGCCATAGCCTGAATGTGAAATGTCCACCTTGCACCAGAAAAATAAACAATAAGATATAGAGCTTCCAGATTTAAGAATTCAGTCTTCACTCATCTGTAGTGGGGCCCAAGCATCTATTTTTTAAATTGTACTTATGTATGTGTGCATGTGTGTGTGGGCATCCATACATGCATGTGCATGCCCTCCATGGCCTTTATAGAGATCAGGGGACCACTTGCAGGAGGTGTTTATCTCCTTCCTCCAGGTGCTCTCCAGGGAATCAAACTCAGGTTGTCAGATTTGGTGGCAAGCACCTTTACGGGATGAGCCATCTTGCTGGCCCTTATTTATTTTTTTTTAATTAAAAGCTTTTTTTTTTTGAGACAGAGTCATATTTTGTGTTCTAGATTGCCCCAAGCTCTCTATGAGCTTGTTAAAGAGCCTCCCATTGCTTCTACTCTATTCCTGCCTCGGGTGAGGAGCCACGGGAGCACATGCCTGGAGCCTTGGATGAATTTGCTGAAGGAAGGCAGATGTGAGAGTCCACCTGACCTGCGCCCTAAAGCTGCTGAAGGTAAATGCTGTCTCTAAGGATGGCAGGCGTCTCCGCGCCTGCCTGCACACTAATCCTACATCTTAGGTACAAGGAACCTTTCTGTCAGGACTGAGCACCAAAAGCATGTCCACCTGTCAGTGAGGCAGGAACACAGAACCTCTGGTGAGAACAGAGGAGAGTCTGTTAGCGAGGTCTGTGGTGTTCAGAACCTTTGGGGCTTGCCCCACCCACACAAACAAGCCAACAGCCCAACACAGAGGACTTCCACAGCCTCTCTTGGGGGCATTTCTTCCATCTGTCTTCAGTGCCCTGTCACACAGCACTGCCCTCTCCTTACCCTTCATGGCCCAGCTGAAGCCATCATCTCTGGACCTCCATTGTAACTGAGAGCCTGTGATTTTCTCTCAGTTCTGCATCTTGGGGTTATATACACAGAAAAGGAGACAAGTGAATATACCGCTTAATGTTGCATGCTGACATGTGGCCTCTCTCCTGCTCCAGCCCTGAAGCTCTGTTAAGGGGACTGTGTCTTCTTTGATCAATATCAGAAACCCAGGATTTGACATGTACAGGAGCCTAGAACCTATTGATCAGGTATGTGAACGTTACTCACTAATAAAGGTGTATGGTGTGTGTATGTGTGTGTGGTGTGTGTGTGTGGTATATTGTGGTGTGTATATGTGCGTGTGTGTATGGTGTATGCATGTGATATGTGTGATGTGTGTGTGTGGTGTATGTCTGTGTGTGGTTATATGTGGTATGTGTATGTGGTATATGTATGGGTGGTGTATGTGTGTGGTGTGTGTGTGGTGTATGTGGTGTGTGTGTGGTGTGTGTGTGTGTGTGTGTGGTGTATGCACAAGTGTGCACCTGGAGACTCAGAGGAGGAAGTGGATGTCTGTTCTACTTTTCTTCACTGTATCCCCGTGGAACGGGGTTCTCACTGAAGCTGAGCTAGGCTGGCCGCCAGCAAGCCTCAGCGAGCCCCCTGTCTCCACCCAACACAGCGCTGAGTGAGGCGGGAGGCCCCACACCGCTGTGTCTGGCTTTCTTTTTAATGTGGGCTTTGTTGTTTAATGTGGGCTTTGTGTTTGTGCAACACCCGATCTTATCCACTGAGCCATCTCTCCAGCTCCAAACATATTCATTTTCTTTTTTTTTTTTTTAAGATTTATTTATTTATTGTCTGTTATGAGTCTGTGAAAAGATCTCAAGATTTATTGAGGTATAAAATGGATGATACTCTCACGGATACAGAACAAAGTGGATGTTGCTGCTTATCCAGCTCTCGTCCTCCGTTCTGCTGGGAGTGGTGGGAACCAACCGTCCTGCTGGGTCCACCCAAGAGAACCTGAGTGTGACCCCTATTCCTCTGCTCTTAAGAGGTCACGTATGCAGGCAAGGCCACGCCCTAGGGCTTTCTACCTCAAAGCCAATGGCTGAAAGGAATGAATTCCCACAACAATTAGGTATACAGTGTTCTGTCTGCATGTGTGCGTGATCGCCAGAAGGGGGCGCTAGATCTCATTATGGACGGTTGTGAGTCACCATGTGGGTGCTGGGAATTGAACTCAGGACCTCTGGAAGAGCTGCCAGTGCTCTTAACCTCTGAGCCATCTCTCCAGCTCACATACTCATTTTCAAGTTCAATATTTGACATGGTATTTTAGAGAGGAAAAAAATGATCCTTTGCCTAATACATGGTTCTGTTCTGCCATGCAATTATAGTCTGTGAATGACAGAACAGAACAAAACAAAAAGCAATATTTAAAGCTCCCCATCAGCAGGCAAAAATTAGACTCACCATACATCAATTCGGCCCAAGACTCCAACAGGCCTGAAAAAGCTATTTAGAAACAATTGTAAAAATTCCTGTTTGTGGCATAATTAAATAACCAACTCTCTGCAGGAGTTTGATGGCCAGCATGAGATATCCTGAGAATTTCTATGGCTTAATGGCCCAAGTTTCCAACTTAATGGCCCACCCGCTTCTCAGACCTCCAGCTAAACATGTGCGTCATTTTCTCTGTAGCAGTGCTTTATCTAAGTAGATCGTTCAGCTTTAAAGTGTGTTTGCAGGAGCTGAGGGGTAGAGCGTCAGGGGTACAGCATATGCTCAGCATGGCAAAGCCCTGGGTGTCAATCCTCATGCGCGCCCCCCTCACCCCCACCACCCCCACCCCACCACCCCCGCAAAAAGAAATGTTTTTGAACTTTCTAGGAAGATGCATCATACAGTTCTGCTCCCAGTGACCAAAGAACTTCCAAGTACAGTGATGAGATCTCAGAGAATGGGAAGAGGTCTGCCAGATGCCTGGAGAATGCTTCATAGATGGTAAGTGTCTTTCCACAGCTTTAGGACTGTTTTCTGCTGAGGATTAACAGTGCCTCACGGATCAGGCTAATGGCCGGGAAGATGTCCCTGAAAGAAATTAAAAATAAGTAGGCAAAGGAAATGTCTTAGAGAAAGATAAAAATGAATATTTCTTAAACAAGGACTAAATTTTAAAATGTGGAATGGTTCAAGAATTTATATGTCATCCTTACACAGGAGCCGTACTAATCTCTGTCATTGTTCCAATTTTAGAGGCATGCTGCCGAAACCAGAAGCACATACATTTTTCATAGAATTTTATAAAATGATATTTTTATCAGTTGCTGGGCCTCATCTCTGCGCCATCTTCAATCTTAGTTGTATGTGTAGCATAGAGCTTTCTTTCTTTTTCTTCTCCCTCCCCTACTCTCTGCCCTCCCACTTCCTCTCTCTTTTAACACAGGAGTCACTGTTACCCTGGCTGGCCTCAGACTCACGACCTCAAAGGCTCTGGCTCACTCAGCCTCCAGAACAGATGATATAGGACCACAGCACCACACCTGTCTCCTTTTCCTCCATTTCCCCCTCTTCTGACTCTTCTTTTGATTCCTCCTCTGCCTCCCTCCTCCTCTTCATCATCTTCCTCCTTCTCCTTTTAACTGTTGTGAGGAACATGAAAACTGGAGAAAACATTGCAATGATTTGAGAAATAACTCCAGAATAATGATCTCCAAGTTCTCAGCGACATGACATGGAACGTTCTGGTCCCCAGAAGAGAACTCTTCCTTTGGACATCTCATGTCCCTAGGGCTGGTTACAGCTCACTTCCTCCACTCTTTGCTTATACAGTAGGTAGCTGAGCCCTCCTTCTGCAAGGGTAGGTATTCTACCATGGTCCTGACTTGGTTGTGAGGGACTTTAGCTTTCTAAATCCCAGAATCCTATTTTTCACCTACTGAGGACAAGGCCACTGCTCTCTGTTCTACGGGGGAGCCACTGTCCTGAACTAAGGCACATGGAGTGATAAATCAGACAGCTAGTAAGTCTTACAGAGGCCACCGACTGATTACCATTGGTTGCACAGTGATACTCAGCAGTCTCACTCTGTGTGAACCCCTTCACAACTGGCACCTTCAGCAGTACCCTGTTAGAAATGAAGACCCTCAAGCCATGCCCAGGCCTTCTGAATCATCTCAGGAGAGCAGGCTAGCTGCCATTTTTTACTAATCTACTTGACTCTGTTTGTGACAGAGTCTCTTGTAACTCAGGCTGCTCTCAAATTCACTATGTGGTTGAGGATGACATTGATCTCTTGTCTCTATGTCCCAAGTACTGGGGTGACAGGTGTGCCACCATGCCAGGTGTTTATTTGGTGCTGAGGATAGAGCCCAGGGCTTCCTGTATGTGAAGCAGGCACTTTGCCAATCAAGCTGCATGCCTAGTTTTCTCCGACACTGGGGAGCTACTGCCTCAAGCTAATGCATATCAGACCCTGCTTTACACCAGAATCTTCTTGGGAGCACTGAACAATCCTAATGGTCCATCTTCCTTACCAACCCAACGCTAAGACCCAGGCATCAGCACTGTCGGTAATTCTTGCAAGTCTACCTTAGGACCCACCACCCTGAGCCGCAGTAACAGCATCATCTGAGCACTCAGGAGAAATTCAGAATCCCAGACCTGGCCCCAGGGTTCAGGCAGACTGCACATTAACCTGGGTGACCCTCCTGACACACTAAAATATGAAAATGTTTCAGGTATGGATCAGAGTCCTAGGGGTATCCACTGAGTTCCCAGGTCCCTGCATCCCAGGTACATAACAGATAAATGGCTAATAATATTCACAGAAACAGAAAAAAAAAAACAGTTTATTAAGAAACAGAAAGGCAGTCGGGGGAGTGGGAGTGGACCAGAGAACAGGAAAGACATATTCACTCAAAAGTTCTGGGCCATGAGGCTCCCCACCCTTTGTAGTCACCTATGCGGCACTCCCGAGTCTGTGTAGCTCAGACTTTCACATGCTCTGTCTGTTGCATGCAGTCCGCCTAGGGAAGGTTTTGCTGTCTTCTATTAATTGGCTTCTACTATGTGCTAATCTTGAAGCTGCTCTCTCCAGACCCCACTCACACTCTCTTGACCAAAGCCCTGGCCTAGGCTATAAAAATTCAGTCTGAGATGTGTCTGGAACTTTCTGATGTACAAACTTACTGAAGCCAGCCCAGCCGCCCATGGGTGGTTATTGTTGGGTTTGTGTTATTGTTATTGTCTGATTCTCAGAGGACCTGGTCTTCCTGTCGCCACCAATGGATGCCAACAGCTTCAGACAGAAAAGTTAAAGTCCATGAGTGCCTCCAGGGGGCCCTAGAGAGTTAAGGCAGCGAGGAGGAAGCCCTTTAATTATAACACTGGGAGTGTGACTCTGGCCGCCATGTTATTAATTACCGCCTGTACTCCCTGGTGGCTTCTTCAGAACAAGCTATTTCTCACTCGCCCCACCCTGCCCCACCCTCCAGTTTTCCCTTCGCACTTACTCAACCTTGTTCCAGACTACTACGCAGTGATTTGAAAGTGAAACCAAGGCTGACTCAGAATTGAAACAAAGTTGCACCTGAACGAAGGATTTCCTTCAACACATGGAAAGAACCCCAGAATGGAATGGGCGAAACATGTGATCGAGGACAGCAGAAACATTATTATTATTTTTTAACAGATTTAATTCACTTTTTGTTTTGTTTAAAAACTTTTTTTTTTTTTTTTTTGGTTTTTCGAGACAGGGTTTCTCTGTGTAGCTTTGCACCTTTCCTGGAACTCACTTGGTAGCCCAGGCTGGCCTCGAACTCCCAGAGATCCGCCTGGCTCTGCCTCCCAAGTGCTGGGATTAAAGGCGTGCGCCACCACCGCCCGGCGCTAAAAACCTTTATGTACTGGCCACAACTGGGGCCTGGGGCCCCTGAACAGAGACACTGGTATGGGTTTTCACAAGATGGTCAGTGAATTCCTTATAAGGGGACTTGGTGAACACAGTCTCTTTCCGGAGGTAGCTGTAGGTCTTAGAGATGGCATCAAAGGTGGCCTTGGCAAAGTTGCCCAGGGTGTCAGTGCGGCCCCTGCTGATGTGTAGCAGTCATCACTATCAGCCGTCATCAGTGCCTTCTTGGGCACAGGAGCAGAGCCCCTGGGGGCAGGGATAAGACACACCAACACAGAGGCACAGAGGCCTATGACTTTGCCTGGAACAGTATGGGTGTCTTAGTTATCGTTTCTATTACTGTGAAGAAACACAATTCTTTTTTTTTTTCTTTTTAATGTGCATTGGTGTTTTGCTTGCATGCACTTTTGCGTGAGGGTGTCAGATTTTAGAGTTACAGGCAGTTTTAAGCCACCATGTGGGTGCTGGGAATTGAACCTGGCTCCTCTGGAAGAACAGTCAGCGCTCTTAACCTCTGCGCCATCTCTCCATCTCCGACAATTCTTTCTTTAAAGGAAAACATTTAGTTGTGGCTAGCTTATAGTCCATTATCCGTTATCATCATGGCGGATGGCATGCAGGCTGACATTGTGCTGGAGAGTTCTACATCTTGATCCGCAGGGAGCCGAAGCAGTCTGTGTCCACACTGGGCATAGTCTGAGCATAGGAGACCTCAAAGCCCATCCCCACAGTGGCACACTTCCTCCAACAAGGCCACACCCACTTCCACAAGGCCACACCTCCTAAAAGTGCCACTCCCCATGGGAGCCATTTTCTTTCAAACCACCACAATGGGGCTTGCCAACTGTGCTCCCCCAGTAGCCTCTCCACACAGGGACAGTGGACAGCTTGGCTGAGGTGATGGCTTCTAGGATGGCAGTGGCTACTGATAGGGATTCCCAATACGCCCCCATGGTTGCGCAAGACCAGCCATTTCCCGGTCAAAACGTCTTGCAGTGACCAGGACCCCCGTGGCTTTGCGTAAAGTGCGCAGCGCAACCATGTGATCTACGCGCATGCCTGGAGTAGCCACATGGGCCTGTGTGCCCAGGCGCGGCCCAGCCTTTATAAGCCGGCGCCATATTCCCGGCTCCACTCTTTATTCACGTGTGTTTTGACAGGCCTGTCACGTCTGTCTCTCTTTCCTATCTTAATAAATCTCTTGTTAGTGGATTCTGTCATGTTTCCTGACATTTCCTCGAAGGGTAAGAGCGCCGCAAATAACTAACAGCTACCTCCTTGGAGCACTTAACACCAAGACCAGCATGACCATTGTAGTCCCCCAAAGGGACAAAAGTCTTGAACCTGGTCCACTGGCCAGCCCTAGTCTGCTTCTGCACTGGCTTGATCTTTTGAACGTCATCTTTTAGGGATGTGCCCAGGAAGAAGTCAATAATCTCGGGTTCCTGAATGGGCAGGGAGCACAGGTAGATCTCCAGGGCCTTGGTCTTCATGTCCTTAACCATGCGGACCAGCTTGGTGACGAGGATCCACTCCTTGCCTCAGCTCCTTTACCTCTACAACCCCCATGGCCTTGGCCACACCCTCAGCTTCCACCTCGACCATGACCTCCTAAAACTGCTACCTAATCCTCCTCGGTTGCTGCTGCTGCTGCAACCTCTGAATCCTGGGCTTCCTGGTCCTCTGGGCCCTCTTGCTGTCCAGGTGTCATTTGCCATTTGGTGCTTTCTGAAGAGGAGGAGGAGGAGGAGGAGGAGGAGGAGGAAGAAGAAGAAAGAAGCCAGAAATCTTATTGTTCTGGAACTTTTTAACTGACAATCCTTTTGTGTTAATTTGGTCTCTAGGCTTAGTTTGTTGTTTTTGCCCTTTGCTTGAAAGTGATGGGGGTGGGGTGGGGAAATTCTTGTTTTGTTTTTTTAAAGTGATGGGTTTCTGGTGGTGGTTGGTGGTTGGTTGTGTTTTATTTTTGCTTTGAGACAGGGTCTCATGTCGCCCAGGCTGGCCTCAAACTTATTTTTAGCCTCCTGCCTCCACCTGTTTACAGGCATGTGTCACCCCCAACCCCCACGCCCCGTTTGAAATTGGTAAGTGGTTTTTGTCTCCGAGGGGTCTTTCAGCCTGCATTTACTCCCGTCCCTGTGCAGCCATGATGTGGGGCAGCCATGATGTGGGGCAGCGGTGTGGAAAGTGGCCAGAGCTGGGAGGCTGAGGACACCTGGGTCACTCAGAGGAAGTCGTTTACAGTCTTGGGCCTCAGTTTTCTCAAACTGAAAATAAGTGATGTCATTAGGTGTGATGGTGCCCACCTGTAACCCTAGCTTTCAAGATGCAAAGGCAGGCAGAATCTAAGTTTGAGTCCAGCCTGGGCT